TACCAGAAAAAAATCACTTATACACAAGGAAGGACAGAAATAAAGAAAAAAAGGACTTAGAAAACAAGCAGGAAGCAAATAGCACAATGAAAGTTGTAAGTCCTTACCTATCCATAATAATATTGGCAGTAAATGGAATAAATTATCTAATCAAAAGACCTAGAGTGGCTGAATGAATCAAAAAATAAGACCCAAAGTAGATTCTGTGTACAAGAAACTAATTTTACTGATAAAGACATACAACAGACTGAAACTTAAGGAATGGAAAAAAGATATTCTATGCAAATGGAAACCAAAACAGAGCAGGAATAACTATACTTATATCAGATAAAGTAGATGTCAAGCCAAAAACTGTGAAAAGAAACAAAGAAGGTCATTATACAATGATAAAAGGGTCAATTCAGCAGAGGATATAATAATTGTAAATGTATATGAACCCAGCACCAGTGCACAGAGATATATTTAAAAATATTAGTACAACTAAAGAGAGAGGTAGATCCCAAAACAATAACAGGTGTGGACTATAACACCCCACTTTCAACACGGTAAAGATCATCTAGACAAAAAAACTAACAAAGAAATGTCAGACTTAATCTGCACTATAAACTCAGAGGACCTATTACACACTTAGAAAACATTTCATCCAAAAGGTGCAGAATACACATTCTTCTCCTCAGCACATGGAACATTATCTAAGAAAGACCATATGTTAGGCCACAGAATAAATCTCAACAAATTTTTAAAATATTAAAATTATATCAAGTATCCTTTCTAAATACAATGGAATAAAACAATAGAAATAAATAACTAGAATTTGAAAACTATACAAATACATGAATATTGAACAACAGGCTCCTAAATGACCAATGGGTCAAGGAAGAAATTAAGAAGGAAATTTTTAAAGTTTCCTGAAACAAATGAAAATTAAAGCACAACATACCAAAACCTAGAGGACACAGCAAAAGCAATACTAAGAGGAAAGATTGTAGCAATAAATGCCTAAGTCAAGAGAAGCATAAAAACTTTAAATAAACAACCTAAAAATGCACCTTAAAGAAGTAGAAAATCAAGAACAAATCAAACCTTGAATTAGTAGAATAAATAATAAAAATTGGAGCAGAAATAAAATTGAAACTGAAAGACAATACAAAAGATCAATTAAACAAAAAGTTGGCTTTTTGAAAACATGACAAAAATCTACAAACCTTCAGCCAGACTAAGAGAAGACTCAAATAAAATGACAGATGAAAAATTAGACTGGGGTGTTGGGGGCAAGTGGAGGGAGAGCATTAGGACAAATAGCTAATGCATGTGGAACTTAAAACCTAGATGACAGGTTGACAGGTGCAGCAAACCACCATGACACACATATACCTATGTAACAAACCTACACATTCTGCAGTTGTATCCTGGAACTTAAAGTAACATTAAAAAAAAGAAGAAGAAGAAAAATGAGACATTACAAGTAATACCACAGAAAATAAAAAGATTATTACAGACGATTACGAGCAGTGCCAATAAATTTTAAAACCTAGAAGAAATGGGTAAATTCCTAGACACATACAAACTACCAAAATTGAATCATAAAGAAATAGAAAACCTGAACAGACCAATAATAGGTAATGAGATAACAATGGTAATAAAATGTCTCCCATCAATGAAAAGCCCAGGATCTTGTGGCTACACTGCTGAATTCTACCAAAAATTTAAGAAAGAACTAATACAAATCCTACTCAAATCATTCCAAAATATCAAATAGGAGGGAATGCTTCCAAACTCATCCTGGAAGGCTAGCCTTATTCAGATACCATAACCAAAGACACCCCAAAGGAGAAAATTGTAGGCCAATATTACCAATAAACATACATGCAAAATCCTCAACAAAATGCTAGCAAACTGAATCCAACAACAAATTTAAAAGATCATTCGTATGATCAAGTAGGATTAATGTTAGGGATGCAATGATGGTTCAACATACACAAATCAATAAATGCGATATATCACATAAATAGAATAAAGTACCAAAACCATAAGGGCATTTCAATAGATGCCAAAAAAAAATTCAATGAAATTTAACATCATTTCATGAAAAAAACTCTCAACAAAATGGATATAGAAGGAGCATATCTCAAAAGAATAAAGGTCATGTATGGCAAACACAGCTAGCATCATATTAAATGGGAAAAAACCTGAAAGCCCTTTGTCTATGACCTGGAAAAAGACAAAATAACTGCTTTTACCACACAAAAAATATTATTTTCATGGGGTACATGTGTGGACTTGTTCCATAAATATACTGCATAATGCTGGGGTTTGGGCTTCTACTGAACCCATCACCCAGATAGCTAACATAGTACTCAGTAGGTAGTTTTTCAATCATTCCTCTCTTCCTCCCCCTTTTTGGAAGTCCTAGTGTCCATTATTTATATCTTTATGTCCATATGCATCCATTTTTTGCCTCCTGTTTATAAGTGACAACATGCAGTATTAGATTTTCTGTTTCTGCATTCATTCACGTAGGATAATAGCCTTCAGCTGCATCCATGATACTGAAAAGGGCATGATTTTATTCTTTTTGGTGGCTGTGTAGTATTCCACGGTGCTTTCACCACTTTTATTCAACATAGTACTGGAAATTCCAACAAGAACAATTAGTTAAGAGAAAGAAACAATGCCCAGATTGGGAAGGAAGAAGTTAAATTGTCTTTATTTGCAGATAATATGATTTTATATTTAGAAAAAATCTAAAGACCCCACCAAAAACGAATTGGAACTAAGAAACTGATTTTATATATAAAATCAACATACAAAAATCAGTAGCATTTCTAAATGCCAACTGTGAAAAATATAAAAAAGAAATAAAGAAAGCAATCCTTTTTACAATGACTACAAAATATAAAATACCTAGAAATAAACTAAACCAAAGAAATGAAAGATGTCTGCAATAAAAATTATAAAACATTGATAAAAAATAAAGACCACACAAAAATAGAAAAAATCCATGTTCATGAGTTGGACTAATTAATATTGTTAAAATGTCCATACTACTCCAAGTTATCTACATATACATAAACACAATCTATGTCAAAATACCAAAGACATTCTTTATGGAAACAGAAAATAAACAGTCCTAAAATTCATATGGAGCTATAAAAGGATCAGAATGGTCAAAGCAATCCTGAAGAAAAAGAACTAAGCTGGGGCATCAAATTGCCTTACTTCAAATTATACTATAAACTTATGGTAACCAAAACAGCATGGTACTGGCATATGAATAGACACCTGGACCAATGAAACAAAATAGAGAACTCATAAATAAATCTATGCATTTATAGTCAACTTATTTTCAACAAAAGAGCCAAGAACACACACTATAGTAAAGACAGCCTCTGTAATAAATGTTGTTGGGAAAACTGGGTATCCATACACAGAAGAATGAAACTAGACACATCTATCTCTCACCATATACAACACCCAAATCAAAATGGATTAAAGACATAAATCTAAGATCCAAAATTATGAAGTGACTAGAAGAAAACTTTGGGGAAAAGCTTCAGAATATTGGTCTGTGCAATGATTTCTTGAGTAAGACCTCAAAGCACAGGCAACCAAAGGAAAAATGGGAAAATGAAATCACATCAGCTAAAAAACTTCTGCACAGCAAAGGAAACAATCATAAAATGAAGAGACAACCTAGATAACAAGAGAAAATATTTGCAAAGTATTCAACTGACAGGGAATTAATAATAAAAATATGTAAGAAATTCCAACAACCCAATAGTAAAAAATCAAACAATCTGATTTAAAAATGGGCAAAAGAGCTGAGTAGACATTTCTCAAACTAAGACATACAAATGGACAACAGATATATACAAAGTGTTCTAAATCACTAATCATCAGGTAATTTTATATCAAAATAGCAATGAGATACCATTTCACCCCAGTTAAAATGGCTATATCAAAAACACAGAAAATAAAAACTGTTGGTAAGGAAGTGAAGAAAGGGGTATCCTTGGACATTGTTAGTGGGAATATAAATTAGCATAACCATTTTGAAAAACAGTGTGGTAGTTCCTCAAAAACTAAAACTAAAAATTCCATAAGATCCAGCAATCTCACTATTGGTTATATATCCAAAGGAAAGGAAATCAGCATATCAACGAGCTATCTGCACTCACATATTTATTTGCAGCACTGATCACAATAGACAAGATATGGAATCAACTTAACTGTCCATCAATAAATAAATGGATAAAAAATGTGATATATATATATAATAAAATATTATTCCACCATAGATTAAGATTAACCTAACACCTATTTAACTTTTTAATATGTTAGTCAATACATTGTTTTTATTGTATACCCATTTGGTTGTTATCCTAAAACATGTAACTGAAAACATCTTACTTGATATAGCAACCTAATATTGTTGATTATTTTCAGAATTATAGGATACTGTGAAAAACTATGACTCACAAAAAAAAAATAATTAAATGATGTCACTTTATGTGGAATAGATAAAGTTTGTTAAGTATTATAATCACATTCAAAAATAACTCTTTAAGTTTAAAATAAACCAGGTCTCTAAATCTAAAATATGCCTACACAATGCTGTGGAGAAACACTTAATATATGTATTCGCGAGTATGTATGCTACACATTTGCGTATGGTCGTAATGGATTCATGTCGCCATAAGTGTATACACATGGTATTTCTATGTTAATTGGTAGGTTTCCAAAGAATGTGATAAATGTCTGAAAGATGGAAAACAGATGGAGCAGGAGACCTGAGGGGAGGAGCTAGAGAGCTTGAAGGATTCAGTGAGCAGAGACAGGAAGAGAGAAAAGGCCACCTACAGGTTCCACTGCTGTGAACTGTGGAAAGGGAAGGAGGAGCCCAGGAGGGGCCCCAGGGAAAGAAAGGCAGACCTACTCTGTGTTTAGAAGAAGGGAAGACATCAGTACTAAGAGGAAACTAACACTGTAGTCTTGTGCAGAAAAAGGGCAGAGACTACAGCCACTGCAGCAGGGAAAGGTGGCAGCCCGATGTGGCTGAGGGGCGCCCGCCGCCAACAGGGAGGCAGACGGCCAGCGAGCCAAGCGCTGGGGACACCGCTGCAGTGCTCTTTGCCTGCCTCGCCTCACTCCTACACACGCTCCTCATCTAGGGATCCTACCCTCCCCGCTCTTGCAAACACTCACACAGTCAATCGCCTGTTGACCCTCCTTCGCCACAGGCTCACAGCAGAGGCAGCAGAGAGGTGTCCGATTTGGGCACCCGAGGCCCGCGATCCGCAGCGGTGGGCGCCAGGCAGGGCAAAGCCATTGGTGGGCACCAGAATGGAGAGGGGGATGGGAAGGAATCCAGCAGGAGACATGGGGTGGAGGTGGGCGCCAGGCAAGGGTGGGGTGGGGGAGTGCAGTGGACAACAGGGGAAGGGGTAGGAATAGGAGCCAGACAAGGATTTGAAAGTGATACCCAGGAAGCAAGGGAGGTAGGTGCCAGGGAAGTGGTTAGGATAGGCAGTGGGGGTTATGGACAGCAGCAGGGGCACAGAGGGCATGAGGGTAGTGGGTGCTGGTCAAGGCCGCTTTGCAGGGGATTGGGAGTGGACTCCAGTGGCAGCAAGGGGTTCAGGGAGGGCAGTGGGCTCTGAGCTAGGAGGACGTGGCCCAGCCACTTCTGCAGAGTTCCTAACCACAGACAGCTCTACTGCACCACTCCAGCCTTTCCCCACAGCCCAAAGGAACTTGGGAGGGAGAGCACTGCAGGCATGCAGCCAGATTTCCAGCATTGCTTCCAGGCTCCTAGGGGAAACTTAGGCATCACTGCAGAGTACATCCAGACATGGCTATAGGGAAAAGTTTGCCTCGTGGCACACTGGATATGTCTCTCTATCCTCTCTTCTCCCCCAGCAGGCATGAAGACCCCCAACGCACAGGAAGCCGAAGGGCAACAAACCAGGGCAGCTGCAGGACGGGCCACTGGGTCTGCAAACATAACAAAGAAAAAAGTCTCCCAAAAGAAGCAGAGACGCAGACCTTTATCCCAGCCCCGCAGGAACATCGTGGGATGCAGAATTTCTCAAGGATGGAAAGGAGATGAGCCCATCACCCAGTGGAAAGGAACCGTTCTGGATCAGGTGCCTATAAATCCCTCTCTTTATCTGGTGAAATATGATGGAATTGACTGTGTTTATGGACTGGAACTTCACAGAGATGAAAGGGTTTTGTCTCTTAAAATTCTTTCTGACAGGGTGGCATCATCTCACGTTAGTGATGCCAACCTTGCAAATACCATAATTGGCAAAGCAGTGGAACACATGTTTGAGGGAGAGCATGGTTCTAAGGATGAATGGAGGGGTATGGTCTTAGCTCAAGCACCTATCATGAAAGCCTAGTTGTATATTACCTATGAGAAAGATCCTATCTTGTACATGTACCAGCTTCTAGATGATTATAAGGAAGGTGACCTCCGTATCATGCCAGAATCCAGTGAGTTTCCTCCAACAGAGAGAAAGCCAGGAGGAGTTGTAGATGGCCTAATAGGTAAGCATATGGAATATACCAAAGAAGATGGCTCCAAAAGGATTGGCATGGTCATTCACCAAGTGGAAGCCAAACCCTCTGTGTATTTCATCAAGTTTGATGATGATTTCCATATCTATGTCTATGATTTGGTGAAAAAGTCCTAACTGTTAGGGTAAAATTTGGCTCATGTGTGGAAATAAATGTATAATTTGTAGACATGCAAAAAAATGTTACCTTTCAGTGTACTGAAAGCCTATGGAATCCCTGATAACCCAACATCTTTGCCAGCATTAACTGTTGTTTTGTTCTAAAAAATACAAATTTGTGTGTACGTGACATGCTGTGTGTAAGCGCTTTGTCTTGTTGAAAAGATCAGGTGTGTTTGGTAGATGGGGCATGAAAGGAAGGAACAGCTGTCAATTTCAGCTGTGAATAAAGTTCAGTTAGAATCATAATCAGTCATTTAAAAATGGCACCAGACTTAGCTGGTCTGGTCTGGAAGGGGCAGGGGAAAGAACAAGAGATTAGCTGTCTCCGGGAGAGAGGAGGAGGTGACTGCTTAGGAAAAGGTGGAAAAGGGCCAGAAAGGGAGGGGATTCTTGGGGGAGGGGATGACCTATGAGGAGGAAACCTCCAACTGGGAAGGGAGTGAAGACTAACAGAGGGAGAGTGAGATCTTGGGGCGTAGAGGAAAACAGACAGAATAAATTGAGAAGAGAGGAACATAAAGAAGTTTAGAAGATGGACCAGAGTAAGGGGGAGAAGTATCAACCTGACAGGGATCCTGGGGAGAGGCTAATGGAAACACAAAGGAAGAGTTGCGTGGGTTAGGGTGTTGGAGGGATTAGAAGAGGGCCACTGAGGAAGAAAGAATTCAAAGAATAAAGACTGAGAGAGGGAGTGGGAATACAGGAAAAGAGTTGTGGGCCCATGAGAGATGGGAAGGTCAAGGAAAATGTTGGACTTCTGGCAGTGTCCACATTGCTCTTCCTGGCTCTTTGCACAAAGGAAGTGGCAACTGTCAAAGATGCTGGATGCATTGGAGGTTCCTTAGAAGAGCATTCTGACAGGAATGACTCAGTCAAGTTAATCCGGAGCCAAGTTTATGCCCATAAGGCTTTTCCTGTTTCAGGGAGTTCATGACACATCCACCCAGCAGAACCCTAGCCCTCAGCCTAAACACAATAACATGGTGTCCCACAAGTGCTGGGCTGTGGGCTGCCTCCTCACATTTGTCCTGCACTAGATAAGCAATCCTCGTAGAGGATGGGTCAGTGGGGCTCTCAGAACTTAAGAGATGTACCATCTTGCATTTGGAAAGTACTTTATCCAGAAAAAAGGAAACCTTACTGAACTCAGGTGCAGCAGTCTCATCACACCAGTTCCTTCTGCTGGAATGTTTGTTTTCTATCTAGAGACCAGGTGCATCAGAGGATTGAGCCTAGTGTTTCTCTCTAGGTTATGGGGAGTGCCTCACTGTCCACACTTCTTTCAGCAGCTGCCTGAAACCACAGGTGGTTCCAACCAATGACCCACTAAAAGAGGCCTGCTGTCACAATAGTCCACATTCTGGTTAGACCTTCCCCACAAAGCTGGTGTCTGCATACCCCTCACAGGCGCCTGTTGGCCAGTCTTGCCTACCCAAGCTCACAGAAATCTGTGATAGAAGTCTGTGAAGCTCTTTGTTTCCAGGTGAGGCAGATGCCATGGGGCAGTCGGGCTGGAAGTTGTGACTTGGTATAACTCATTCAGCTGTACAGTATCACAAGGAAGTGTCAAGGTTGGTGGGGAGAGGGAGCAGCAACCCACTAAAAGTCCCTCAGAACTATGGTGTCTGATACAAAGATAGATCTGTGTATTTCTCTTCCTCCCCTCCTTGCCTTTCCCCAGTCTTTCTCCTGTAGCCCATCTGAAAACCCTCTCACTAGTTTCTGCAACCACACCCTTCACTAAATTATACCTCTGACCCCAAAGAAAGAATGCTGGTGACCCCTGCTGCCCAGGTTACCCTAACTCCATGGATAGTGGGAGATGCAAGGAACTGTCAGGAGTTGAAAGAAGATGGTAAATAGAGTTTATTCTCTGCACCCAACATGGCCTGAGGCTGACTGCCTCAAGAATTACACAAGGCAAGCCTACCTCACCGTAGCAGGGATTAATTTTCATGTATACATCACACAATTCAGTCCAACAAATACCAGCTGACTGCCCAGGGACCAATCTCAGTCAGCTGCCAGATTTTGTTTCATCTTTGTGTTTTCATTGTTTTCTGTTTTTAATTAAGTACTTTAGACATTTGAGAGATTTCACACAATGAAAATTTATGTTTCTGGCATCTCCTGAAAGTGAAACAGAACAATTACAAACAACAACAACAACAACAAAAACGTGAGGATTGGGGCCCTCATTCCAACAAGGATACATGCAGCTGGGCCTTAGGTAGGTCCCAGTCCAGTTTAGACTCCGAATACCCTCTCCAGTTGGCCACACCCCCAGCTGGCCTGCTTCACTCTAATAAAATGCACAGTTGTTCCCTGGAAGCGTTTGCACTTGTGACTGGGGCTACACCCTGGAAACACTGCCCCTTTGACTTGCTTTGATCCCATTTGCTTTTTAATTTACTTGTTTTATCTTTACCCCACAAATACTTACTTCAGGTGGGCTCTCTGCCAGGCATTCTTCTAGGCACAGATATTGATGATGTGATAATGAATGAAAGAAGCAAACTAAAATTCTTATCCTCATGGAGCTTTCATTTTAGTGTGGGGGATAGACAGTAGCCAAAATGAATAAGCAATTATAATGTGTATTCATAGTGACTAGTGTTAAATAGAAAAATATAAAGCGAGGAATTGGGATAGAAATTTCCGGAGGGAGGCTGAAACTAGATAGATAAGGTGTCCAGGGAAGGCCTTACTGAGAACTTGGCTTTTGAGTCTCACCTGAAGGCAGTGGGAGAACTGACCCTGTAGCTGTCTGGGGAAGGAGCATTCCAGATGGAGGGACAGCAGGTGCTGAGGCCCCAAGACAGGTTTAGGCTGGCATGTTTGAGGAGCAAGGAGGATGCTATCATGTCTGGAGCTGAGTGAGCAAGGCAGAGAAAAGCAGGAGCTGTTTTCAGAGAGGTAATGGGGATGAGAGAGAGAGGCAGACAGCTTATAGCCCTGTAGGTTTCAAAATGCAATTTGGCTTTTACATGGAATGTGATGGAGACCCATCCATGTATTGATAGTGGAGGGGAGACAAGATTTGTCTTAGTTTTACAGGATCACTCTGACAACTTGGAGAATAGTTTTTATTAGTATATGATGAATAAAGGGAGAATAATTAGTAGGATATTCCAATTATTTTGGTAACCGATAATGGTGGGTTTCAGTATCCTGGTGGTAGTAGACATGGTGAAAATTAGTTGGATCTGGCTGTTTTCAGGTATACCCTGCATGTTTTCCTATTTGATGATGTTGTGCAGTGGAAGATAAATATGAGTCAAGGACTACACCACATTTTCTGGTCTTCTTTTGAAGATCTTAAGAGAAACAAATTCCCAGTGAAAACCATAGATGACAGAATTGGGCTCTATACTCAATGCCTAGATTGGGTATAGAATACTAAGGAAGTGATCTCTAGAAAATGAGAAACTGACCCAGGAATTCACTGATAAATGGTTGTTTTCGGCCTCCCCGCTCTGGATAACTCCCATAGCCATTATATTGGAAACCACTGATATGTTATTTTGGCAATGGGCCAACAAAGGGAGTTTGTCACAGATTTAAAACTGTTAGTGAAAAATTTAATGTACGGCTGTTCAAAAGTTCTTAGTATTCAGACAGGGCTTAAACTTGTATTCTGTTTGGATAAAGAACAGATGTTTATACTTCAGTAGATTTGTTCAAAATTCATTACATATATCACGTCCCATTTCCCATTCCCCAAGCCCATGTGCTATTATTGGTACTGAGAATACATGAGTTAAAATGTAAGAGAGTTTCATATTAATGATCAGTGATGGGATCATACACAATTAATCAGTCTTGGTTTGTGCACTCATCACAGTAAAAGAGATATGGTCAGAATCCTCCAACTCTTTTCCTTAGGTCACTACTGGACATAGATGGAAGTTGACACTGTGAAATTCCAAGAGTTTTTCCTTCCTCTCAGAGATTACGGTACATTTCCTAGTAAATCATTTCCTATATTTATTTTTGGTAGGTAATGATAGGTTCAAGCATATCTGTAACATTTTTGCTTTCTCTTTCAGATTGAAATTGTACCACATCTCAAGAAAATGTTACAGTTATGTACAGTTAATGTTTCAGAGGACTAAGAATGAAAAATCTTTACTCTTTGTAAGTTTGTAACCATTTGAGAGACCAGCACCATAATGACACATTTGGAAGTCAAAATACCCCCTTGGTATTTAATAAAAGCTGAACTGGAGGACATGGTTAGATAGGGGGCTTCAAGGACTTCCTAATATTTCACCCAAACACAAGCACAACTGGATAATGATGGACTTCTCTGATACGGCCGCAAAGCTTATCCTATGTTTGAGAATGAATTAGAGTGTCTCTTCTGTCCAAAAGAAATAAACCCAAGAGATAAATAAAATGGTTTTTCACATGTCCAACTCCTCTCACACTCACCAATTAGGAAAGCCTTTGAGAGATATGCAGCCAGGGGAATTAGGGTGCTATTTCGCAAATGCTATACACAGTACTTCATAGAAACAAAATGGAATTTTTTAATTTTATGCAGTTAATATGTTGCACAATATACCTGAGAATAATTTGCAATGTATTGTAGTTAAAGGTTAGATATTTTCAGTGTGGCTTTAATGTCCTTTTAAAAATCAATTTCGGAGGCATCTGAAATAAACTATAAGTTGCTGAGCTCGCTAGTTTAAATAAGTAATAGCACATATTAAAGAGGGGCCTCACGAAATGGGAGCATGATTCCACTGACTCCCCTAAAATCTTCTTGCCTCTTTCTTGAAGGAAGTAAACTATACCACTGATTGACCACAGGAGTGGCTAATTAAAACCACTAGTCTAAAAGACACTAAACAGTGGGCACATGAAAACTCTTTCGCTAAAAATCGCTAAACTTTAAAATGTTGAATGAAATATGACAGACCTCCTTTTAAATGTATAGCTGAGCTTTAAATATTGTGAGGGAAGTCCACAGGGACCAACAATTAAGAAAGAACTGCAAACAACAGTAGTAAGCACATAACCTGATGCTTTGGCAACATGGAAGGAGAGGGGTGCTGTCTCAGTAACTAAAGGATTTTAAAAAGAAGATAAGGCCTTAAGTTCGATAAATTTGGCTGTTGGAAA